GTGTAACAGTCCAGTCAGTTCCAGTTGCCGTCCGAAAACCTTTTATTATTTCTTAATGGATTATTTTGCGCTTGTAAAAAATGATCTCTATTATATTCTTAAAAGTAAAATCGTTTACAACGCTTTTGTTTGATTTGTATTTGTGTCTATTGATAAATATTTTTTAACTTGTGAGCGCTACAATATAGAAGGCGACACATTCATCGTTCCCATACAATATAGAAGGCTTCGTTCCCATATCATCGTTCATATTCTAAGGTTTAATGATTCATTAAAAAACGACTTAATATTTGATAATGTATTCAAAAACTTCTTCGAGTATAGTGAACTAAATAATGCAATATTTTTTTACTCATATGACATTTGTAAATTTCATGAACAAGACTTGAGAATGATTCAAGCCTAGTTTTTGTTTAAATCACAACTGGATGTAAATAAATTTGTTAAACTAACTTATCATTTTAGTCTATATAAACAATATCTGAGTTAATAACTGAGGTTACGCCAAACTTAATTTAAGATATTTTTATATACATTATCTCAAATTCGCTCAAAAAACTGTCACTTATTTCAACTTGCCGGCCACAAACTAACATACAAAATATCTATGCTATACGCTAAAACAAAACCATACCAGCCTCTACACGTGGCATTTAAACGAAGCGTTGCGCATTTAACTTTTATGACTCAGCGTCTCAAGAGCGTTCACTTGTATGAGACGACATGTATTAGAGACTAAAGGTTCAGCTAGATGATACTTTCATAACACTTAAACTTAAGACTTTCACAACAATTAAACTTAAGACTTTCACAACACTTAAACTTCAAGACTTACATCAGAAAACCACTTCAAGCTTATTTAAAAGCGTCCTTGGATGAACGTACAAATAATGTCATATTTAATTGATGCGTCATCTGCGTCAGTTTTCGCGGCGACATCTGCAGGCCTATGCAATTATTATAAAGTGCTTTTTTCCTTTTTTCTCCATTCTAGATATGCATATTTAAAGGCACATTATGCCTCAGAAATCCTTTTTTTTAAATTCTTTAGAAATGTAAAACACATGTTTAATAATGTTTTAATAATGGATTTAGAACATGTAGGATATTTAACAGCTGAAGAAAGTAGTGCTGAATGTGCAGTAATGTGTTGTAAAGGTAGCAAAATGTAAATAAATAGTATTTTGACTTCCATACAAAATACTAAATCATTATAATTATACCAATTGCCAGCAAAGCAAAAGATATAAAGATAGTTCATTTATATGGCAGATAAGTATTTTTGTGAAACTTGTAACAAGACACCAAATATTTAAAATTTTGAGAAATAAAAATTATAGCATTTCTGACGCATAATGTGCCTTTAAGTATTATTCTCCAATACTGGAGAGCAAAACAAACCTACAGCATAATATTCCGACTAAGTTGTAATACCTGTAACATAATTTGCTCAACATCTGAGGTGTTTAATGAGTCATAGGTTTTAGTAACAGTATAGTTTTACAGTATGGTGGTAACAGTTTTAGTATGGTGGCTGATTTGTGCCATGTGGCGCCGCTGAAAAAAGAAACGAAAATAGGACAAAGTTGCGATTTTGTCGTACTTGCGTTTCGCGAGGCGAAAGGAAAAGTCACAAAGATATGACAAAGTGGTGACTTTTCCTGTTTTCACCTAGCGCCCCTCGGAGAGAAAATATACCCACGAAGTGACTTTGTCATAGTATGGTGGCTGATTTAGTACACTATGCGCTTTGTGTTGTCGTTAGCGACAACACAACCTATATCGTTATCGCATATAAGCAAAAGGCGCGTTGTCGCACTATCGTCTTGTCGTTCTGTCGCTAGCGAAGCACGCCAAACAACGCGTTGTCGTGTTGCGCGCTCTCGCGATGTCGCCCTGCCGCATGGCTTATATATATATATATATATGAAAAAAGCCAATCCTTCGATTTGAGCCTAGAGATAATGTGACATCGCGACAACACGCGTGCTGTCGCTAACCTCATCACAAAATGTTCCAAATCAGTTTCGCCTTGCGCCCCGCGGAGCGAAAATACGACATGGCACAAATCAGCTGATATACCATACTGGTGGCTGATTTGTGCCATGTCGTATTTTCGTCCGAAAAAGCATCACAAAAAAAGCAACAACACGAAAACACCACCACCAATAACAAAAACATCAAAAACAACAACAAAAATAAAACAAAAACAAACAAACAAAAAACGAAAATATGACAAAGTGACTCATAATGCATATTTCTAATTAAAATCTAATTAGTTCTCAGCTTGATCGAGATTTGTTTACGTTGTTTTCGAATGCGTTTGTAACCACTAAATAACATCGCTTTAATGAACTTTTTAAATACTTTCTTCCTTAACATCTGATGCGTGTATATCAGATGAGTAACCTTGAAAAGATTTATAAATACGTTCACCTGTAACAAGTATGTATTAATGACCAGGTGGTATTTCTTTATGCCCCCTGACTTTGCTCGTACAAACAGCTGAGCGGGAATAAAGTTTAAATTTAAATTAAGTACATGATAGTTTAATAGATTTAGTATTTCTTTATAATAGGGGCTATTTGATATCTATGATAATCAACCATGATAATGTTGTTATATAAGGAACATGATGGAGCACGAACATACGGCGACAGTTTTGACAGGCAAATACTAGCTTAAGTGTTACAGACAAAAATATTGACTGTAATAAGACGAAGTGAGCTATACATCTGTTACTTCACTCCTTGAAGGGCGTTTCTAAGCACTCCATTCTTTATTCGAGCCAAGTCTAACAAAGCTTGTCCGTAACAGAAATACATCTATAAACAGTCAACTGTCTGACTATGCTGGCCTTAGAAATACATCTATAAACAGTCAACTGTCTGACTATGCCGGCCTTAGAAATACATCTATAAACATTCAACTGTCTGACTATTCCGGCCTTAAAAATACATCTAAAACATTCAACTGTCTGACTATGCCGTCCTTAGAAATACATCTGTAAACAGTCAACTGTCTGACTATTCCGGCCTTAGAAATACATCTATAAACAGTCAACTGTCTGACTATGCCGGCCTTAGAAATACATCTATAAACATTCAACTGTCTGACTATGCCGGCCTTAGAAATACATCTATAAACAGTCAACTGTCTGACTATGCTGGCCTTAGAAATACATCTATGAACAGTCAACTGTCTGACTATGCCGGCCGTAGAAATACATCTATAAACAGTCAACTGTCTGACTATGCCGGCCTTAGAAATACATCTATAAACAGTCAACTGTCTGACTCTGCCGGTCTTAGAAATACATCTATAAACAGTCAACTGTCTGACTATGCCGGTCTTAGAAATACATCTATAAACAGTCAACTGTCTGACTATGCCGGCCTTAGAAATACATCTATAAACAGTCAACTGTCTGACTATGCCGGCCTTAGAAATACATCTATAAACAGTCAACTGTCTGACTATGCCGGCCTTAGAAATACATCTATAAACATTCAACTGTCTGACTATGCTGGCCTTAGAAATACATCTTTAAACAGTCAACTGTCTGACTATGCCGGCCTTAGAAATACATCTATAAACATTCAACTGTCTGACTATGCCGGCCTTAGAAATACATCTATAAACAGTCAACTGTCTGACTATGTCGGCCTTAGAAATACATCTGTAAACATTCAACTGTCTGACTATGTCGGCCTTAGAAATACATCTGTAAACAGTCAACTGTCTGACTATGCCGGCCTTAGAAATACATCTATAAACATTCAACTGTCTGACTATGTCGGCCTTAGAAATACATCTAAAACATTCAACTGTCTGACTATGTCGGCCTTAGAAATACATCTGTAAACATTCAACTGTCTGACTATGCCGGCCTTAGAAATACATCTATAAACAGTCAACTGTCTGACTATGCCGGCCTTAGAAATACATCTGTAAACATTCAACTGTCTGACTATGTCGGCCTTAGAAATACATCTATAAACATTCAACTGTCTGACTATGCCGGCCTTAGAAATACATCTATAAACAGTCAACTGTCTGACTATGCCGGCCTTAGAAATACATCTGTAAACAGTCAACTGTCTGACTATGTCGGCCTTAGAAATACATCTTTAAACATTCAACTGTCTGACTATGTCGGCCTTAGAAATACATCTGTAAACAGTCAACGGTCTGACTATGCTGGCCTTAGAAATACATCTATAAACAGTCAACTATCTGACTATGCCGGCCTTAGAAATACATCTGTAAACAGTCAACTGTCTGACTATGTCGGCCTTAGAAATACATCTTTAAACATTCAACTGTCTGACTATGTCGGCCTTAGAAATACATCTGTAAACAGTCATCGGTCTGACTATGCTGGCCTTAGAAATACATCTATAAACAGTCAACTATCTGACTATGCTGGCCTAAGAAAAACATCTATAAACAGTCATTTTTCTGACTAGTATGGTCCTAGTACAGTCACTTTTCTGACTACTCTGGTCTTAGAAACACATCCATTTCGAGTCTCCTTTCTGAGTACTCTGGTCTTAGAAACACATCTATTTCCAGTCACTTTCACTTTTCTGACATATCTGGCCTAAGAAATAAATCTGTTAACAGTCACATCTGTAAAATCTTCAAGTATATCAGAATTTGAGACTAACAGTGGTTTCTTACTGAAATTGGTGAATGCCTTTGTCGAAAGTTACCAAAGTTATCATATCTGTATTTGAATTTTTTAATCTCTATATTTGGTGTAAGACACACAAAAGTGTATGTATTCACAGATAACATATAAATACTGAATAAACTGATCTTACACTGTTAACTTCTTTTATTAAAATTCTTATATATAGATAATAACCTTTTAAAATATTATTATGTCTCACAAATCAAAATTTTTAGAGTTTGATATTTTACGAGATATTAAATGAATTTAATATACTACCATATTTCCGTGTATCAACTGTAAGACAAATGTTTATTTATTTCAGATGTAGCAGTTGTACATAACGCCGAAGCTGGTTGCAAAGATGATTTAATGGCGGCAAACAAGGCTTGTTTTGATAGTTACAATACGTATCTTGCAAACCTTGGCCAAAGCGGGGCAGATTCTTCACAAATCATGGTGAAACTATGCACGTACGAAATCAATTTACATCTGTCGTATAGATTAATTGAATGATTGGGTTAAATGTACACAACTTATGTTATATGTTTTGTTTGTTTTCAGATGTTTTGACAAATTCATAATAATAATTATCATAGTGCTTATGATAGTGCCGTTTGACAGGGATCTACATAAAATAACATTTTAAGAAATGTACAAACGGCAACCATCATGACATAAATCATCTAGCAATCACATTTAGATAATTAAGAAATACAAAAACACCATAATGACACAATCATATCATAAGATATTTCATTTAAAAAGTTCAAAAGTTTCAAACAAGTATTTCCTTTGTAAAATAATTCATAACTAATTCATGACTTTTCAGAGACGAGGGAAAAGCAGCCTGGAGTTGTCTAAAACCTCTTCTCGACAAATGTCAGGAGCTGAAAGGTGATGCCAGATTTCAGGTGTTTTCTATACTTGAAACAAGTGGTGGATGTGACGTAATGAATCCCTCTGGTGAGTACTTTGTTTTTATATGCAATCTAATTGCGGTCATTTTTTAAAAAATATT